TAGTTAGAAAAGTTGTGACTCTGCTATGTTACCTGGAGTAAAAAACAACTACAATTGGTGGGAGTGCAAGCTAATTCAACCTCTTTGGAAAGCAGTGTGGCAATTCCTAAAAGAACTAAAAATTGACCTTCCATATGATCCAGCAATCTCTCTCTTGGGGATATGCCCGAGAACATAAATTGTTCTACCAAAAAGACACCTGCACGTGCATGTTTCTAGCCGCACTATTCACAATAGCAAAAACATGGCATCAACTCTACTATCAATCGAAAGTGGATTGGATAAAGAAAATATGGTACATATACATGATGGAGTATTATGCAGCTATAAAGAAGAACAAAATCATGGACTTCACAGCAAATTGGATGAAGTTGGAGACCATCATACTTAGTGATCTATCACAGAAACAAGGAACTGAATACAACATTACTGAACATTACTCACATTAGCACAAGGGAGGGATTGGCAGTTGCTGGGCACTGCTAGGGGAGGAAGGAGGAGGGTACATAACAACACAGAGAGTATCTGGTCCCAAACCAGAGGAAGGGAGGGCTAGTTGAAGGCCCAAACTTCACCTGCATGTCGCCCACTTGTGTAGTTAATCCTTACTTGTACCCTACATCTCTATCATAAAATAAAATTAAAAAAATAAAAAAGACTGGACTCTGTGGCTCAGTCTGTAATCCCCGCACTTTGGGAGACTGAGGCAAGTGGATTTCCTGAGCCCGCAGGTTCAAGACCAGCCTGGGCAATTTAGCAAGACTTCGTCTCTACAATAAAAAATTAGCTGGGCATGGTAGCACGCGCCGGTAGTTTCGGTTACTTGGAAATCTGAGGTGAAAGGATCGCCAGAGCCCAGCAGGTTGACACTGGGGTGGCCATGAGTGTGCCACTCCAGCCTGGGCGTTAGAGTGAGACTCCAACTCAAAAAAATAATAATAATAAATAATAATAAAATAAATAAAATAAAATAAACACTACAAGCCTGCTTAACTCAATCCACTTCTATAGATGTTTGTTGAGTGCTTGCTACGTACTCAGCATTAAGCTACTCTGGGCCACACAAACCAACTATTGGCTGAAACTGGATTGAAAACCAGGAGTCTAAATGCTTTAGCTTTTGTCCAGAATTTCTATTCTCTTCTCCCCCGTTTTAAATCCATCTCCACCTCCAAGACCTTTACAGGTTCCAGGTATCTCATTATACTTTCAGGGACTTCCCCGGGCCTGTGTCTAATTTCTCTGGCACTGACTGTGTATGGAGCTCATTTCATATTCCCCATAAAGTGCCTGTGTGGTAGCTGGCTGTCTTTTTAATGAGCCAGTCATCTTCCCAATCGGATGAGTCCCTTGGGGCTGGAGCCACATCTTGACCCCAACACATCTTGACCCCAACATAGGAGGGTCTCGATCATCTGGGTCTCCCCTACTCCCCGTGTTTTTTACCTTTTCCCTGAACACCACATCAAATATCTCACTGATGTCAAGATTCCTTCCCCTTCTGCACGCGGAAGTCACACCTGGCTCGGAGCTGCCATCTGGAGGTTTACTAGCAGGATGGGGGCCTGATAACCCAAGACTTGGAGTCCTACTTGGGCATCTCAGCTATTTTCCGACAAGGGCTTCCCATAAAGTTAATTTTTTTTTTTTTTAGTTGACATCTCACTCTGTCGCCTAGGCTGGAGTGCAGTGGCACGATCACAGTACACCACAGCCTCAACCTCCTAGGCCTCAGGTGATCCTTCTGCCTCAGCCTCCAGAGTTGCTGGGACTACAGATGTACACTCTCACGCCTGGCTAATTTCTTTATTTTTTTTGTAGAGACGAGGTCTCGATATGTTGCCCAGGCTGGTCTTGAACTCCTGGGCTCAAGCAATCCTCTCACTTCAACCTCTCAAAGTGCTAGAATTACAGGCATGAGACACTGTGACCAGTTCTGAATTATCTGGAAAGAGACGCCAGGCTTGAGTTAATTTCCTCTCTCAGACAGGACACTCAAGGAGCTGAGAAACAAACAGGCCAGGGTGCAACCAGACACATAGCCCTTTGGAACAGTGTTTCAGCAGGCTCAACTCAGTTACAGAAACAGAATGTAAGCCTCGCAAGGGCAGGATGGGAGCTGTTCACTTTACTCATGGATCACACAGTAGCTGCTCCATAAATATTTCTTGAACAAATAGGAGGCATAAACACACATGCTAAGTTTGAAATGAGAAACACCAAGTTTCAACAGCGATCATTTTCAACGTCTGCACATTCTGTCGCTTAATTGTCGCAGCCATTACAAAGCACATTAAGTGAAAAGACAAACAATAGAAGTGCAGCCTGGAAAGAGAGCTCCGAGTCACAAAGGCGTCATTTCCCAGTGTATGTTTGTGAACCACACATGCTTTCCAAATAGGTGGACTGAGTTGTGGACCCTATGTTCTCCTGAGCACAACAAAAAGCTCCAGCGTCAGAATTAACCATGCCACTTCAGAGCCTTCAACCACATGGTCTCATTCCTGAATGTATTTACGCCAATTTTATAATGAATCAGAATGAGGAAAGTAAAACTGGCTATAGTCAACTCATAGGCGTTGAAGGCCTTGGAAGGGAAATGTGAGAAAACTTTCTCAGGCTCCTCAGTGGCTGCTGGCTTCATCTTATTCAGATAACCTTTCTTTTTTCAAACCTGGTAAATGTTAGAAACCAAATGGCCTCAGCCCTAGACCTCAGACTTCTGGATTTTCCCTAATCAGATAGCCAAATATGCAAAAGAAAAGTGGGGTTACATTTTCTCTCCTCCTGCTGCATTCTTGTCCCCATTTCTTGTGTTCCTCAGAGCTCGGCTTGGGGCTTGGGAGACAATTAGCTCTTCCTGCCAGTCATCAGGGAAGACACTGAGCTCTTCAGACAGTCCCAGCCTTAGGGAAGTCCCTCCCTGTGCCTAACTCAAATCTCTTCTCTGGCCACTAAGCACAATTCCCTCTTGCCCTGTCATCACCGGAGAAGGAAGAACAGCTGCTCACCACCCTCCTTTTAATCATCCTTAATGGGCTTATAAACAGTTATTAAGTTCCCCTTCAGCCTTCTCAGAGCCTCATTTTACTTGAATTGAAGCTGAGAGCTTCTGAGGAAGGTATTTGACTCAGGGCCCCACAGACTGGCAAAGCCTTAAATGGGTAATCAGCCACTTCACCCACTTTAACCTACGAGTGAGCAACTCTGCCTTCTTTTGCAAAATTTAAACTCATTCAAGGGGGTTTCCTGGCAACCAACCCTTATTAATAAATCACACCCAATCTAGGCCAGGACAGGGCATCTCACAAACGTTTCTTTTGCTTGAGAAGTCACACTGGCACACAGGCACACAGAAGACAGGCAGCTGCTGTCCCCCGAATTCTGCCTCCCACAAGCTGTTGTGGGCCTGGTGCATGCTCACCTGATGCTCCAGCTGGGAAGGGGGTGCTGTCCTAATGAACTAGCTCCCAGTCCTTACCCATGGTTACCGAACCAGAGCCACAACAGCTGGGGAGCAGGGCGCAAAGCTCAAGGGAGGTTTGTTCAGGTTTTGCCAGGCACCCATCAGAAGTTCCACATCCTATTCCATCGTAGAATCATTTGTCTCAGTTCATTGCCCATGCCTGCAAGTGAAAGTCTGCATTGTAGGTTTGGCTAGAACTTCTGATATGTCTTCACTCAGAGTCCTGTGGTCCTCTCCAGTCATAGGAAATAGTGGGGCAGGTAAGTTATAAGGTTGGTGTTATTTCATCTTTGGCAAAAAGAACGATTTCACTTTAAGACTAATTTTAACCAGAATGGCTCAAGCTAAAAGGGCTGACAATCCCAAGTGTTGACAAGGATGCAGAGCAACTGGAACTCTCAATGTTTGCTGCTGAAGTGTGAATTGGAGCCACCATTTTGGAACTCTTGGCAGCATCCAGCAATTGCCCTGGCAATCCCACTCCCAGGTGTATGCTCAGAAGCAATACATGTTTATATTCACCAAAAGATATGCAAAAGAAAGTTTGCAGTGTTGTGATTCATCATCATAAATCACTTGAAGAAGCCACCCAAATGAAAAATGGGGAAATAAATAGTAGAATAACCACACAATGAAATCAGACACAACAGTGAAAAAAACTGGACTACTGCTCTACAGTACAACATGGATGGATCTCACAGATACAGAGCAAAGGAAGCTAGACACACAAGAGCACACTGTGTGTAATTCCATTTATATGAAATTCAAAAGAGGCAAAGCAAATCTATGATGACAACAATCAGAATAGTAGTTGCTTCTGGAAGGAGTCAGCTTAGATCTGTGCACTTTATTGAATACAAGTTATACAGTATCTCAATAAAAAAGGAATCAAAAAAGTGTCTATTGTGTTTTCCTCTTCCCAAATGAGCATTCATTCATCCTTTTTTTTACAGCTCTTTTTTTGAAATATATTTGAGGTGACTTATAAAGGTACACAGTGTTGAACCATACTGATAAGTGAAGAAACCTGGGTGGTGCTAAACTAAGGGCAGAAAAAATAAGATGAAACAAGATGTGAGGGTGGCCCTCAATATTTATGTCAGGAAGTCGTGTTCACATCTTGAAATGAGCTGAAGAGAGCTTCCTGGTGGTCAGTGCAAAGAAGACACACAACAATTCTGCATCCAAAAGTGAATAATCCTGCTGATTGCAAGCACAGTTAGTTCGGAAACCCGAGACAAATTTCTTCTGTATCATCTCAGAAAAAGGGAACTGTGTGATCAAACCACTTTCTATTTGTTTAAAAAAATGTTCAAACATCCCATTTGTGTGTAACCCTGGATATCTGTATCCCCTCAGCACACATTTTTGCCCACTGCTGCACCCATGGACTTTAGGGTAAGGCAGCAAGCCGCTGACAAGCCCCTCCCCTGTGCTGCACTGTGGACCCAGCAACTAGACACCAGCTACGTTATTGGGTGAAATTTGGGGGAGGCCTTGCTTGTGAGGATTGGGTTTCTGTTCTTTGGGGTACCGGGCTTGCCGCCCTCATTTCTGCAACCAAAGCCTGGATCCTCACCCTGCACTCTGCCACGCAGTCTGTGCTCTTCCTCGTTGGTACTTCTCAGCAGCCCAGTCCCATCCCCAGCAGCGACTGGGCGCGGGGCAGGCTCTTTTCTTGTTGGCCTTTGAGTGAATGGCTCTTTCCACTTTCTGGCTCCAGTGTTTGAGTTGAACTCATATATTGCCCCAGTCACTAGGAGGAAAAATACAACAATCTTGTAGACCAAAGAATTCAAATGATTCTCTCTTCCCCCTCCTCCCCCTGCTGTATTCCAACTCCCAAGGAGAGATGAGATGCTAGAAGGTGCAAATCTCCAAGGCAGAGTGTGGGCGTGGGAATAACACAGCACTCTTCACCAGCCAGCTCTTCCCATGAGCCGCAAGGCTCGGACCACACAGGTAGCAGGCACCAAACCTCTCTGAATGAAAGGTGTAGGAGCATCTCAAGACCATCTCAACTGCAGGACCAGAGGGTCACATAGATCTTGAACTCTCCAAGAGCTTCTGATAATTAGGTTCAATTGCTAATGGCATTACCCACTACTTTCTGATTTGTTTCCTTTGCTTTAAAAGATCCCTGGGCTGGATGCGGTGGCTCGTGCCTGTAATCCCAGCATTTCAGGAGGCAAGGCAGGAGGATCGCTTGAGCCCAGGAGTTTGAGACCAGTGTAGGAAATATACTGAGACCTCGTCTCTACAAAATAAAAAATAAAAAAATTAGCTGGGTGTGGCATCGTGCACCCATAGTCCCCGCTACTCAGGAAGCTGAGGCAGAAGGATCTCCTGAGCCCAGGAGGCTGAGGCTGCAGGGAGCCTGTGATCATGACACTGCACTCCAGCCTGGGCGACAAAGTAAGACTCTGACTCAATACATAAATAAACAAACAATAAAAATAAAAGATTCTTGAATCCCTCTATTAACAGAATTCACCAAGTAAGGATGAAAAGACTTTGATTTTTATTTATGTGAGGTTAGCAGAGACTCGTAGACACAGACACACAAATCTGGCCCTGCTCAAGATGGTGCGAGGGGGCCGTTTTTATTGTGTGGGAGTCAGCAGACGCTAATTGATGTGTTTGTTCACATAGGCCAATTGGCTCATTTCTTCCTTTTTATTCCTGTTCACGACACACACGAACTCAAAAGTCCTCCCTGGCTTCTGCTCTGGAAGGCCAGGTTTAAGGCAAGCCCCTGCTCTTTCCACTTCCATACTGCCCGAGTGGCCCCTCAGCTCAGGATCCCACCAGCACTTATGCTAATGCGGGCACATTATGGTAACAAGTACCTAATAATAGAGGGAAATTTAATTCCAGCAGCAGCAGCAGCAGCAGCAGCCTGTCACTGGAGAGAAGCCATCCTCCTTCGGAGGAGGACCCGTGCAGTTTGCATATGAGGGTGGCAGGAAGCCAACACACTTGCCTCCTGAATTCGGCTTCCTTCCCTTTATTCACGACTATAATTGAGCCTTTGTAAGCGGAGGGATGTGTGTGAAGGAGCTAAATTTGGAGCTGATTTCATGGGGGTGATGAGAGCCCCGGAGACCAGCCTTTACCTTATGTTCATCTTGCCGACCAAGAGGAAATTCTTGGCCCTAATCGAGCTAAAAAAAAAAGCAGCCATACTTGCCATTGCTGTGTGTCTTCCACTGATGAGTAAGATGGTATTAGGAGCTTTCAGGAAGGATGGGGATGGCAGGGTGCAGGAAAAAGATGTGGGTTCTTGCATTCACCATTGCCTAAGTTGGTTGGTGATTTAGGAGGGGAGGCAAGAAAGAGGTGTGGCCCTTGAGCGTGAGCCTTCTGGTGGAGACCCACTGACGCTTCACGCAAGCACACATACGTCACTGTGTGCTTGAGCGAGTGCAAGTCAGCTGGGTTCAGAGCCAATCTCACGTTGTATTTTAGCCTAGAAGGGTCATCCCTGTGTAGGCGATGTAGACAAACGGGTTGACAAACCGAGTTTAGAGCAGGAAACTGAATTAAGGTCCTCTGTGATTCTACTAGACTGGAATATGGGTGGCATTGCCACAATTACCTGGATCTACGGCTTCTCCATCAAAGACAGTGTTTATCTGGATAGTTTCCTAAGGAGAGGAAAGAGACAACTTCAAGTACAACTCTAGACACTTCCTACCAGGCAGGGCTGCTTGTCTTCACAACCCAAGTTCCTTACTCAAAGCCTTCTTGACATTTATATCTTTAACAGGCACTGTGCTAGACTCTGGAATCATTGCAGTAAACAAGGCAGGCGTGGCTACTGTCTGCACAGAACTTGCTATTCAAAGACAGTTGCTACACTGCAGCATGAAAAGGCTATGATTGGGGAAATGAAGAATGTTATAGGACACAGGTGGGAGCTGGGGGGGCAGCCAATCCACCCTTGGGGGTTAAGAAAACACCCCGAGTAAATGAAATCTAAGCTTCATAGAAGGAAGAAATGCCACACAACGTGGGCTAAGACCCACATGACCTTGTGGGATCACTGTCAGGTAGACTTGCAAGGTGGGTACAGTGAGCCCCCCCCCCAGGTGCTCGTACCTCCAAGACCCTGGCACTCTGGTCCTCTCCTACTACCTCCCTTTGCCTAGGCCAATGCAGGGTCACATTTTGGGCTCACCTAAGCCCTGTGCTAGGCATCCTTCCCATCCTCGGCTCTATGCTCTGCCACCTTCCGGGGTCTGACCTCTGCCTAACGCCCCTTGTCTTCATGGATACACCCCCTTTCCCCCACAGGATGCCCCTCTAAAGGTGCCAAAGCTGGAGCCATTAGCCCACTAATGAGGATGGTGTTTGGAGTTTAGTGAGCCTTTCAGTCCCCAGTTTTCATCACATAAATGGTCACCTACTCAGGTCCCCACAGCTCCCCAATGCTGAAGAGAGAGGAGATGGGGATTATGTGGATTTCATTCATTTGACCAGATAAGCCGCCCCACTGTTTGTGGTCATGGGAATTGCATTCATTTCGTGGGATTAATTTAATATTATATAGTTCTAAGGCAATCTCTGAGTGGCATCCCCAAAATTTCTTGCTTTAAACAATAAGGCCCAGGAGACCAGAAACTGCCTCTTCCTCTTGTCTGTAGACAGACCAGGAGATATAAGGACTCAGGTGACAGAAGGGCCTGAAGTCAAAATGCCAGTGCCTTGCGTTGATCCCCCTCGTTGAGGGAGGCATTGGCGTTTCATTCAACCAATTTATGGGTCTTGGATCATGACAAAGTCTTCTTTTTGGGGAGGGGAAGAGCTGCAGGGAGTCACCCTCAAGTTCTATCACTTTCCAGCAGGCAGATCAGACTCATAAAAAATAATAATAATAAGAGAGAGTGAGGTGCCGCGGTAACTTGCCAGCTAGCCTGGAACACTTGGCATTTGTGTGACGCTTAACAGCTTTCAAAATACATCCCCACCTGTTACCTCAGGGCAGGTACCCTCAATCCCACTTTATAGGTGAGGAATCTAAAACTCGGAGGCTGAGAGAGTCCCCCAGGGTCGTGTGGCTGAGTGGGCAGAGCCAAACCTGGACCTAAGTGGTGCTCCTTCTCCACCACTTTTCTGCAAGGCAGTGGAAGAGCAAAGAAAAATTAAATCCCACTGAAGGCTGAAGTGCCAGTTCTGGTCTTTAAGCTTCACTCCCCCAGCTCGCTCTCCTAGAGAGCTGGTATAGATAATCAACACCGCTACTCAATATTTATGAAATCCCGTTCTTCTGCAAATATATCAGCAGACTTGTTCAGTGGAGGGAACAAATTCTATCAAGAGCCCGTCACACAGCAATCTGTTCCAGTGGCCAAATGCAAGAGCCTCCCTGAATGATAAACACCCCACGCAGCTGTGGCAGGCCTGCCTGGGGGTAGATGGGAGTCCCCCACCCTCAGAATCCATGCCAGGGACCCCATCCTGCCCATACTCACCACCATAACCTCTCTCTCTGCACTCTTCGTTTCTGCAGGGAATAGAGCAGACAGAAGTTAAGCTTCTTGGGCGCTAAATTGACCTTAAAATTCCACCCCCACGATGGGATTTCCCCTAAATAGGCTTTGAATTCAGTCTTGCAGACATGGCAGAGAATTGCTCTGTCTGTGGACATGTTTGTTGACAGCTTTCCATCTTCTCAGATAAAATATACACACACAATTAAATTTTTCAAAATGCTTTTTTCAACTTTCTATTACAGGACCTAAAAAATTAGCTTTTAAATGGCTTTAAAGATAAGAAAGAGAGATTAGGTTGAAAGGTTTGTTCATAAGGGGATTGTTTTTATACCCTATTTAACTGAGATTGGAGATAGCTTATAAAAATATCACTTATTAATATGCTCAATCACCATTATAATCAAATTTCTAACCCTACTAATAGAAACACTATAGCATGTCATACACACGGGCCTGTAGATACAATGATTAATAAAGCGATTTTTTTTAATTGGTCAGAGTCTCACTCTGCTGCCCAGGCTGGAGTGCAGTAGAACAAGCCCAGCTCACCACAGCCTCAAACTCCTGGGCTCAAGTGATCATTTCACCTCAGTCTCCTGAGTAGCTAGGACTACAGGTGCACACCACCACGCCAAGTTAATTTTTATTTTTTTGTAGAGACGAGGTCTCATTATGTTGCCTAGGCTGGTCTCGAACTCCTGGGCTCAAGCAATCCTTCCACTCAGTCTTCCAAAGTGCTGGAATTACAGGCATGAGCCACCACACCACACTTGGCCAAAGCAAACATTAAAAAAGAAAACCAAAACTTCCCAATTCTTTGTCCTCTCTTCTCATATCCTGACATTGACTTACAGCAGCAACTTGCTGGCCAGAGTCAGAATAGGACATCTTGTCAGGTCTGGAGCTAAAGATGAACCTTGCTCAGTTGACCAGTTTTCCTGAAATCATTCAGTGCTCCCAGCTCAGCCGACTGCCCCAGCTCTCCTTTCTAACTTGTCTGACCTATATGATTTATGAAAAATGATCATATCCACTAGAATCTGAGAATCAAACATCATTTGTTTTTTCAAAAGAGGCATGCGTTCAATACAGGGCATTAGCTGTCCCAGGACACCCCTCCATGGGCGGCAGCAGGTGGACACTGTCTGCGGTTAACACATGGAGAGTTCCTTATTCCTGCCCCACGTGGGGGGAACAGGCCTAGGTGCTTAAGCTGGGCAGACGGAAGATAAACTGGGCAGAGAACAGGCAGGAACAAAATGAGAGACCCGGGCGGGCCAGGACACAGTGCACGCTGCCCTTCCTGTTCACCATCTACAGTCAACCTCTGCTTCATTCCACCCACGGATGATGCTGTTGAAAGCCTGCCAAGACATCATCATGCCCTGATTCTGTGCTGAGTTGGAGCCTTTTTCTGTAGTACAACAGAGCAAGCAAAAAATAACAAACAAAGAAAGAAAACAGGCATCGTACATACCTTCTTTCTTTGCCCTGTGGGGAGGAAAAGAAATGGACATTAATTCGCCTGCCTGTATTCTGCACTGACACACACATGCTGACATGGGGTCTTTGGGGCAACTCCTAGACCCAAGCAATCCACCTGCCTTGATCTCCCAAAGTGCCGGGATTACAGACGTGAGCCACCATGCCAGGCCCACAGTGATCCTCCAGCCTCAGCCTCCCAAAGTGCTAGGATTATAGGCATAAGCCATCATGCCCAGCCACAACATTGGTTAAGACAATCAGGTTCAAGGTGCATATTTAACATTTAGCCATAAATTACATGTGAATTGCAGTGTCTCTTAGATTACTTCCATGAAGAACTTCTACCCAAATCCCACTACAGTGCACCACTATCCTTACAAGATTACGCATCACTCTTTTAGAGCAGCTTTTTTTCTTTTTCTTTTTTTTTTTTTTTGAGTTGGAGTCTCACTCTGTCGCCCAGCCTGGAGTGCAGTATCCGCTCCCGGCCACCACAGCCTCGAACTGCTGGGCTCCGGCGATCCTTCCACCTCAGCCTTCCAAGTAGCTGGAACTACAGGCGCGTGCTACCATGCCCGGCTAATTTTTTGATTTATTGTAGAGATAAGGGCTCGCCAAGTTGCCCAGGCAGGTCTCGAACCCGCAGGCTGAGACAATCCACTCACCTCGGCCTCCCAAAGGGAGCCACCAAGCCCAGCCTAGAGCAGCTTTTTTTCTAAACCAATTTGTGAATAGAGTTCAAACAAAAATCCTCCTTTAATTTCAGCAGATGTTCAAGGATTTCTTACCTTGAAGTTAAGATTGCCAGTAGCAACAAACTTCCCCAATAAACATGGGAAAAGATAATATACATCTTTATGCTAATACCTTATACTTTTATACAGAATCTTTCATCTATAGATTTTAAATTATTTGATAGTTAATAGTTAATCTCCAAAATATGTTTAAAAGGCACATGAGTCTTATCATTCTTTCTTTTTGCCATTGAGAGATCTCGAAACTCAGAGGTTTGTTCCTACACCTCAAGATTCTTGGGCAGAGATCTAAACTTGGAATCTAGAATTCTAAACTCACTAGGACTCAGCTGTGAAGGATAATGCAACCAGATTTTAAAATAATGGCTGTGGGCCTGGCACAATGGCTCACATCTGTAATCCCAGCACTTTGGAAGGTTAAAGCAGGTGGATTGCTTGAGTTCAGGAGTCTGAGACCAGAGTGGGCAACATAGCAAGACCTTGTCTCTACAAAAAAAAATTAAAAATTAGCTGGGCGTGGTGGCGTGTACCTGTAGTTTCAGCTATTGGGGAGGCTGAAGTGGAAGGATTTTCCGAGCCCAGGACATCCAGGCTGCCATGAGCAATGATTGTCATGATCATGCCACTGCACTCCAACCTGGGCAACAGAGTGAGCCTCAGCTCAAAATAATAATAATAATAATAGTAATGACTGTGCCATATTAGGCTTTTTTTTTCTTTTGATTTGAAGTCTCACTCTGTCACCCAGGCTGGAGTGCTCTGGCATGCTTATGGCTACCACAGCTTCAACCTGCTGGGCTCAGGTGATCCTTCTGTCTTAGCCTTCCAAGTAGCTGAAACTACAAGCACATACCACCACTCCTGGCTAAAGGAGTTGTATACTGTGTGTGTGTGTGTGTGTGTGTGTGTGTGTGTGTGTGTGTGTGTGTTTTAAGCATTTGCCCTAAATCAGAAACCATGCTAAGTGCTGTGTTTGCATTTGCTCATTTCATTGTTTAGTTTTACACTAAAAAAACAGAAGCTCATGGAGGTGATCCCTTTCCCAAAGCCATATCCCCAGAACATGGTAGAGCTGAGATTTAAACCCAGGCTGTGTCTAACTCCAAAACCCAGGGTCAAGACCGTGATACCCTAGTTGCAAAAAGCCACTGAGAATCAAGAAACCTGACTCAGAGAAGTTTGTGGCCAGTTGGAGCTCTCTACTTCCCTCTACTACCTCACCTCAGCCAGTAAAAGACACTTCACAGATGGTCACAATAAAAGACGTACTAGTGAGCAGGTGAACATGGGAAGGAGAGAAAACAAGCCTGAATGAGTATGCACAGTCCTGAGAGTGACAGAGTGGATCCACATGCAAAAAAAAAAAAAAAAAAGAGATTATTTAGTTGCACAAAAATCCACTTGACTCTGTGGAGCCAAAAGTTGTATGCCCTTATTGGTTTCTTGGGCTTCCTTTAATTCCATCCCCTCCTTTAAAGATTCTGCCAATAGGAGCACAGAATATTCTATCGCTACTCACAACAGGGTTTTTCTGAAGCTTCTGTTCAGGTTAAGGTCACCAAAAGGTTGATGCCCCAGTTTTATCAAGAGCCTATAGAGGATAGAGTAGGTTGCCAGGGAAAGCCTAAGGAATGATTTCCTGGCCCCACAGGTGATAAAGAGGGTACAGCAGGACAGAGGGGAGCTGGGACCGCCCCCATCTCTTTTTCCTGCCTTCACTCCAGGCACCCTGCCCTGTTGAAAATCCCTGATTCTCCATCTTTCCTTCTGACATCACCAGAAAATGTCCTAAGGGAAGTGGAGGAAAGGGCCCAGTCCACTGGCAACTTACAGAGGTTTCTTGTCCTTCTCGGTCTTGCAGGAACAGTGTCTGTAGATGGCTTTGACCAACAGAACAACCAGGGACACCAGGAGGCCCAGAAGCAATATGGAGCCCAAAGAGACGACAAAAGGCACATACCACGCTGAAGAAGAATACACGTTTTTCTTCAGGACCTGGTAGGTGATCCTAGGCTTGAACAACAGAGAGCGGGCAGTGTGAGTAGAGGGTGGTGGCATTTTTGACATTTCCATACTCCTTGTGGTGGGAGTTTATTCCACTCTTTGTACTCCCTCTGTACACTGGACACTGTGTACTCACAGTTCTTGCTGTTCAACCCATCATCTCATTTCTAGTTTTTGCCAATATCCGTTAGATCAAGACCCAGAAGATTCAGGAAACTGAAAAGCGACTCCAGACCTAATTTTATTCTGTCTTCCCCTTTCCAAAAGCTAAAAAAGTTCATTGGCTTTCTTCCGGCCATATCTGGGCATAACCCAGGGACTAATATAGCCATTGTCTCTCACTGAGGAGGCATGAGCCATGAAAGTTGTTTTTTTAACACCTTGTAGGCTTTTCAGTGTTCTCTCGACTACAAGCTGTCACTGCCAGATGAGTGGGCTGATATCACAGCCAAGCCTCGAGTTCAGCATCTGCTTCCTAGAGCTGGAGACAGATAAGAAACCGGTTCTGGGGATCTCAGGATCAGAGATGCCACAATCGGGTCATGCTGGAAGCCCAAGAAAGGTGGCAACTCCTTCCCAGGGCACCTACTAGCTCCTACCACAACTGGACATTTTTAGAGTGGTCATATGCCTCCATTCAAGAAGTCATGTTGGCTTGAGCACAGGAGAGAGAAGCATGAACCAGCTCTGGGTAAGACTCTAAGAAGCAAAAAGTGGCTATCTCTGTAGGTGGTTTTCTACAGTGCTGACTACCTTTCTTCTGGCATGCTGCAGGTGTGAGGCTGCTGACCAGGGTGCAGCTTTTACTAGGAGGAGGAGGAGGAAAAAAGGGGACCAAAGAGGCAACATAAACGCCAGTTCCTTCAAGGGGCAGGGGAGATAATCTTGTTATCAGAACCTGAGGTTCTTCCTTCCTTCTCTAGACCGATTCTATTATGGCACTTGCTTGCTTCCTTCCTACCATTTTCCACAATCTGTATTTATTTTATTAATCTGTGTACCTGTTTGTAATCTGTCTCCCCCTCTAGATCGGTAGCTCTCAGACCTTAGTGAAGGTCAGAATTCCCTGGAAGGCTTATTAAAAACACAGATTGCTGGGCCCCACCTCCGGAGTTTCTGATCCAGTGAGTCAGGGGATAGAGTTGGGCATTCCGGGTTCCAGCATCCTTCCCTAGAGGTCATGGTAATGATCATGGTTGAGTGGCATGAAACTTTAACAATCTATAGCGGGCCTAAGAATTTGCATTTCTAACAAATTTCCAGGTGGTGCTGCTGCTATTGGTCTGGGGATCATTCTTTGAAAACCACTGACCTATACTCTAGGCTCCATGAGCAGGGATCATTTTTGTTTGTTCACTAAGGCTTGTGTGTGTGGGTTTTTTTGTTTGTTTCACTTTGTTTGTAGAAGACAGGGTCTCACTATGTTGCACAGGCTGGTCTTGAACTTCCTGGCCTCAAGCAATTCTCCCACCTCAGTCTCCCAAAGTGCTGGGATTACAGGCATGAGCCACTGCACCTAGCTTATTCACTAAGGTAATTGGCACATTATAGGTATTAATAGATTTGGACGCATTTTTTGGAGTGGAAGTGGTGATTAGGGTAGAGTAGCACAGGGTGACTCTTTAAGAGAAGTGGAAAAGTGAACCTGGCAGCCAGCTCCCCATCTCTTGGGCATCAGCTGGCAATGGTTCTTAGAGGAAGCAGAGAGGGGAGTAAAGGTAGCCACTAGCTCCTGTGCCACAAGCCACAGAGGTGGTTTATGTCTGATCTCTCACAGGTCCCTACACAAACACATATTCTTCTTTACCAGAATGGGAAAAGTACATGGTTTCACAAGTCCAAGGACTCACCTAGATCCTTATCACCCAGTGGCTACTCCAATCCAGTCCAAGATCACCATCCTAACACCTTAACCCTTGTCGGCAACATCCTAACACCTTAACCCTTGTCAGTCCATCCCACATTTCTCCTGGGTCAAAGGGCTCCATCAACACAAATCCCAAGAGAATGTGACTGGGGATCCCAGGTCCCAAAGCCCTTACCCTGGAGGTTGTGGTGATGATTGTGGTTGGGTGGGGAATGACTTTAATACTCAGTGTCACTGTTCCTGTTTCAACAAGGGCCTCAGCTTTCTTCCTGCCGGACAGCAAGTTGTCATCAGTTATGTAGACAAGCAGTTTGTAGTCCCAGATCTTATCAAGCCCACCAGCATAGTCAAAGCGAGACGCAAGCAACAGGCGTGTGACGTTGGATCCAGCATTGGGAGAGAAGGTGAAATGACTGTTGATGTTGCCTAAATAATGGAGGGGTGTTGGTGAAAGGAAAAAAAGAGAGTGAGAAATGAAGTTCAGAAGAAAACTGCATTCGATCTTTTTCTCAAATGTCCACACCTCAGGTATAGACTGTGTTGCTGATGTAGCAGAGCTAGGGTAGAGCTATGTTACAGGCCTTCACTGGTACAGAGATGCTCTTACAGCCAGGTTGCAAACAAGGTTGAGTAGAAAGGGACACAGCACACCTATCCTAGGTGCCGTCTTATCGAGCACCAGACAGGGACTCCAAATCTCTTTTACATATTTTTATTATCATTTTTTAAAAATAGAGGCGAGGTCTTGCTATGTTGCCTAGGCTGGTCTTGAACTCCCGAACTCAAGCGATCCTCCTGCCTCGACTTCCCAAAGCACTGGGATTACAGGCGTGAGCCACCGTGCCCGCCGACTCCATAATCTTGGTGCAGCCCCTTCCTGTTTATCACTGGCATTTAGTTGGTAACAACATGTGTAACTCACACACAGACAAATGAGTGGGCGGCAAGCGGGTAGAACAGGTCACATCCCTAGCAATGGGCCAAGTTCACCTCATGCCTTTCACGGGACCTGGCTGGTCACGCTGGTTACAGATGACTCTGGAGTTCCCCCCCAAAGGAAAGTGCCTCCTGGTTTTGCAGGGATTGCAGCCCCGGGTCCCCCTGGACCCACCCTGAAACACGCACTGCTCTGTCGGGGCTCACCGGGCTCACGGCTCAGCTCAGAGAGCCTGGGGCAGAGAGGCTGCCAGCCCAGGCATGCTTGCTCCCTCCTCCACTGGCTCCAAACTCATTACTGACTGAACACCAGTAAATGGAACAGGAGATGATGCAATTTTTGCTCCCTTAGCAGCAAAGTGCTCCCTCAAGGCCTTGGGGTTCTCATATGGATTATTTCCATCTTCAGCAACTGCAGTCTCAGGGCAGTCTCTGCCCCTGGGTTTTGTGACACAGCCGGCTCAAGAGGCTTCCTACTGTTCGAGTTCCTGCTCTGCCAAGGGCTCAGCAGGCAGCAGAGATGGATTTTACTCTTTCACGTGGAATTGTTCTGCTTGTTTGGGTTTAAATCCCTGGCCCCGGCACTTCATTAGATGAGCTATTTTGGTCTAATTTCCATTGAGGGGTGCTCTTTTTTCTCTACAATGGTATATTTTTAAAGAGAGAGAATGAATGGAGCAGAAGAGAATTCCTGAGGACACGTTTCAAAATGCATTTAATCTATTTAATCTATTATTATCCAGAGAGAGGCCTGGGAGTCCCTGCCCCCACTACAAGCTTTCAGGAAAAGTGGTGGTTGAAAAATTGGACTACATTTTTTTCTAATTACACGAATATGATTGATGATCCATATTACAGGCAGGAATTGGAGGGGGTGGGGTTCACCATCAATGAGATCACCCTTTTTGGGGCCTCTAAGCAGCCACATATGGGGGCTCTGGGAGGAGTCAGGTGGGCAGGGGAAGCCAAGAGGAGCACTGGGAAGAACTGGTTCCACATAGACACCTCATCTCTGCTTTCCTCATTCAAAAGACCCTCCCCCATAAGCCAGGCACGGTAGTCCCAGCTAACTGGGAGGCCGAGGCAGGAGGATCGCTTGAGCCCAGGAGTTCAAGACTAGCCTGGGAAACATAGCGAGACCCCATCTAAAAAAAAGTACCCCCTCCCCAACTCCTGCTCCCCTTGTGCTCAGTGTGTGAGCACAGACCCCCCACTCCATCTTCTCTAGACAACTATGGAAGCCTCGTGGCTGTCAACCCAAGTACTGTACCTGGGCCAATAGAATAACGAAAAGATCTGGGGCTGGAATCAAGGTCAGTACACGTCAGCTTGAAGTTTTGAATATTTGTGCCAACTTTCAGATCCACTGGGATGGTCAGGAAATACAAGTTTGGGGTACAAATTGGCTTTTCGTCATTTTCTTCAAGGATATTCACAGTGACCTAGAACAGCAAGAAGGTGGTCGTTCTTAATAGCTAAATCTTGTTGAGTGCTTAATGTGGGCAGGTACTTTCCCTGGATTAGCTCATTTAACCTCACAGGAGGTAGATAACGTGATTATTCCCAATTTATAGAAAAGGAAATGGAGGTTTAGAGAGATCAGGTAATTGACCTAAGACCATTCAGCTGGTGAGTAGCAGACCATTCAACTGGTGAGTATGCAGGTCTGTCCTCCAAATCCTATTCTAGTAACTTGTTTAGTGTGTGTGTGTGTGTGTGTGTGTGTGTGTGTGTGTGTGTGTGTGTGTGTGTATGTGTGTGTAGTATATGTGTAGACTCATATACCCCACACTAATGCATCTAGGATTCATGGGTTCACCCACAAAGGATGCCAACTTGTTTTTCCAGTAATGGTGTGGATTTACAGTGACCCCATGTACGTCCTTGCTGGCTGCCCCTTATGAACAGGAAGTTTTTTAATTGTGGCATATACAGCAATGCTTCTCAACCATGTCTCCACTCTCTCAGGCCCACTTCTGACTGAGGGATTGGACTCCCTGGAGGGCGGGGCCCAGGGCACTTTTTTTTTTCTTTTAAACGTTCCCCAGCTGATTCTAATAAGCAGCCAGGGTTAAGAGCCACTGGGACAGAACAAGCCGGCCTGGTTAAACTGGGATCTCATCTGTAACCTGGGCTATTAGCATCGTGCTAAGCCCTGGGGCTAACCTGCCCGTGCAGGGGCCAGCCCAGTCTCTTTCATCGCTGTCTTTTATACCTGATGAATTGGAAGATAGCCTGGGATGCCTGCCAGCACAGAATCATAGAATGTCAGCCCTGAAAGGGACTTGTGTGATCATTTAGTTTATCACCCTTTTTAAAAGCTTATGAATTTTGAGTCGTATTCATTCTACCTTTGAAATTTGGGAATTTCAGCTATTTCTGAGCCCGGGAATAAATTGAAATGTTCACTCTAGTTAGCTCCCAAAGTGGAGTCCATTCATTTTTCTCAAAAAACCCCCAGCCTAACAAACACTGCAATTATCTCCAACTTTCCTCGGCTAGCAATGCGGAGGCTCACACATCATTAAAAACATCAGCCCATTAATTCAAAGCAAGTCATCAGAGGAACCAGACTATTCAGGCATTGGCTTATCAGGTGACTCTCTGTTTGAGAGATAGAGAAATAGGGACACAGAGATAAGCGTTGCTAGACTCCCTCGGAAAATTGGGATCAAAGTTGAGAAATGAACTCGGTCTCCTGACTCTGAGCCAATCATTGTCTGTATCACACAGGGCTGCCTGCTGCTGCTGGGAGCTCATTTTGCCTTCACACGTTTTCACTTTACTAATGGGAAAGACCAAGGAAGTGTTCGGTCTTTGTGGCCATCATGTTGCCCTCAGATAATCCTAGCCACTGACAACACAGATTTATTAGACCCTTGATACTCAAAGTGTGGCTGGGGACCAGCAGCGCTGGCACTGCTGGGAAGCACAGTAGAAATGCAGAATTTCAGGCCCCAGACCTACTGACTCAGAATCTGGATTCAACAAGATTCTCAGCACCAAAGTCTGGGAAGCAGAATGGGAACACAGCATCATTTTAAGATCTACCCCAGCCAGGCATGGTGGCTCACACCTATAATCTCAGCATGTTGGGAGGCTGAGGCGAGAGGATTGCTTGAGCCCAGGAGTTTGAGACCAGCCTGGGCAACATTGCAAGACCTTGTGTCTATAAAAAATTAGCCAGGTTTGGTGGTGTATGCCTGTGGCCTCAGCTACTTGGGAGGCTGAGGCAGAAGGATTACCTGAGCCCAAGAGGTCGAGGATGTGGTGAGCTATGATTGTGCCACTGCACTCCTGTAAAGATGAGATCTTGCTATGTTGTCTAGGCTGGCCTCAAACTCTGGGGCTCATGTGATCCTCCTGCTTCAGCCTCCCAAAATGCCGGGATTACAGGCATTAGCCACCTTGCCCAGCCACAAAGTGAGTTTTAAAGGGCCATGGGAGAGACCTTGTCCCACAAAGTGTTTTGCGGGTTCAGCAGGTCTTCCAATATCTGGACACCAGTCTCAGTGCTACTTAGTCACCCACAAAACTTGGGCCTCAAAGAAAGACACACATGTTTATTTCCTGGGCACCACTGCTCGTTTCTCATCCCATCTGCAGGATGTGTCCTGGGAAGTGTCCTCAGTGCCACAGCCACACCCTAGAGGTACCAGAGACCCGAAGCCAACAAGTGGGATTCGTGGGAGTATATCGAGCTGCCCCACTCACAGTGACTGAGCTGGTGTCCTCGTTGTTGGTGGCCTGGATACTGAGAATATGGATGGGGGTTGTTTCATAGTCCGCTTTAGTTACTAGCTGGAGTTCTCCCGTCTTGGGATTCATCCAAAATATGCTCGGGTACTGGAGACTGGCCCCTCCGGCGGAGATGGAGTACACAGTGCTGCTCTGGGGGAAGTCTTTATCTGTCGCTCGCACCTGTCCCACGGGGGTTCTAGCTGGAAGCATAAAGTACCTGCAATTAGTCCTGCTTTGGGAAGGTGGGCAAGGACAATCCAGGAACACATGCCCTCCCTGTCATGGGTAGAAAGACTCTGGAAGCCTCCTTGCTGGCCAAACTCTGTATGTTTTATATCTTCAATTCTTTTAAAATCAAATAATGTGCCAGGTGTGGTGACTCACATCTGTAATCCTAGCCTGTTAGGAGGCGGAGGTGAGAGAACTGCCTAAGCCCACAGGTTCAAGGCCAGCCTGGGCAGCATGGTGAGACCTCATCTCTACAATAAATCAAAAAATTAGCCAGGTATGGTGACATGCACTTGTAGTTCCAGCTACTTGGAAGGCTGAGGTGGAAAGATCACCTGAGCCTAGCAGGTCGAGGATGTGGTGGCCGTGAGCATGTCATTGCACTCCAACATGGGTGACAGAGTGAGACTCAGACAAAAAAAAAAAACAATTCAAATCATGCTGATGAGCACCCACTAGGTAACTAGACCTTGAATCCAAACAGTACTGAGAGGTATAAAGGACACCTCCCGTTTTTATAGACTCCAAGAACACTGACCATTTTGCCATCATAATCAACAGTGTACAGAACATCCGTCCTTACACATATGTCTTTTTGCAGTGGTGTTTCTTCTCTTTTCTAAAAGTTTCTTCTCTTTTTCAGTTTTTTTGCAATGAGCACAAATTGCTCTTATAAAAATAAACAACCGGCCAGGCTTGGTGGCTCAGCCTGTATTCCCAACACTTTGGGAGGCCTAGGCGAGTGGATTGCCTGAGCCCGTGGGTTCGAGACCAGCCTGGGCAACTTGGCGAGACCTCGTCTCTACAATAAGTCAAAAATTAGCCAGGCATGGTAGCGCGCGTCTGTAGTTCCAGCTACTTGGAAGGCTGAGGCGGAAGGATTGCTGGAGGCTAGCAAGTCGATGCTGGGATGGCCATGAGTGTGCCACTGCACTCCTGCCCGGAAGACAGAGTGAGACTCCAACTCAAAAAAAACAAAACAACAAAACAATCTTTAAAGAATTTAGTTGGCGGTGACTCAAGCCTGTAATCCCAGCACTTTAGGAGGCCAAGGCAAGAGGATTGCCTGAGCCCAGGAGTTCGAGACCAGCTTGGACAACTTGAAACCTCGTCTCTACAATAAATTAAAAAAAATTAGTCAGGCATGGTGGTGCATGCCTGTAGTTCCAGCTACTCGGAAGGCTGAGGTAGAAGGATCACCTAAGCCCAGCAGGTCGAAGCTGCTGTGGCCATGAGTGAAACTCCAACTCAAAAAAAAAAAAGAATTCAGCAACTGATGATTACAGAGTATAGATTTTTAAATGCTCTTCCATTTTGCTTATTTTTCTTTTTTTTTCTTTCAAATAACTCCAGTTTAATGTAACTTCAAGCCCAAAGATTGTGGGAGGTAAACAGTCTCTTGGTACCTATGGGGCACGAGAGGAAAGACAAACTCCTGGAAGAATGGAGTGCGGGATCTGTGGCTGCTCCACGGACTCTCTCTAAAGCAGGGTCTTGGGCAGAGGAACCCTGAGCAGCCGGAAGACAAGACTTCTCAAGTTTCAGGAGTAAGGTACTGTGTACATCCTTGAAAGAGGGCCCACCAAAAAGCTTTTAAACAGGGCTGGGAAGAAGCCATTTCTGAGTCTGGTTCAAGACAGTGGACAGCAAAGCAACTCGCCGGCTTGGAGGCACTGCCCGGGCGCCCTCTGAGCTCCACCAGAGCCGCCATGTCAGCCTAAACCTCGGCCGGCATGGGCCTGGCAACACTCTAAGACATTTAGTTGGGCATATTTTGCTTATTTTTCAAAGATTGTTGGTAGAGTTGCTAGAGTCTGGCTTGTTTGTTTTATAGGAGTTCATTCTCATGAATTATACTCTGAGGGCAGGAGCCTTCTCTTATTCACTTCTGTAGCCCCAGTACTAAGTGCATGACCCAAAGTAGGGGACCGAAAGTAATGGTAGCTGTGGTGGCTATAAGCATGCCACTTCATCCCTGCCTGGGTGAGAGAGTGAGACTACAACTCCAAAAAAAGAAAGAAAGAAAAAGAAAGTAATCGCAGTAAGATCTGTGTATTCATAGACTGTTCCAGTTGAATTTGTTATTCATGGCATCAGGTATAAAAAATTAAAAGCATTTTCCTTGGACCTTCATTTTGTGTTTTGTTTCAAAATTTGATGTCAGGAAATAGAAACCAGCGTAGAGGATAAAATGGAGAGGGAATCCTTTCAGAGGGAGGGTTTTGGTTTTACTTTTGTTGTTGTTGCTGTTTACTATGGAAGAAGTATTTATGATCTAAAGATCAAAAGCTGCCGGGCTCCGTGGCTCAGCCTATAATCCCGTGCCTTTGGCAGGCTGAGGTGAGTGGATTGCCTGAGTCCGCGGGTTCGAGACCCGCCTGGGCAACTTGGCGAGACCTCATCTCTACAATAAAATCAAAATGAGCCAGGCGTAGTAGCGCGCGCCTGTAGTTCCAGCTACTTGGAAGGCTGAGGCAGAAGGATCGCCGGAGCCCAGCAGGTCGAGCCCGCTCCCGGCCACCGCACTCCAGTCTGGGTGACAGAGTGAGACTCCCAACTCAAAGAAAAAAAGATCAAAAGTTGTGGGATGTCTATTACTTATTAAGCTAGAGAGTTAACAGTATTATCTTCACACTGGGAGAGATAGGGAGACATGAAGCTGGAAGCAGGACTTTTCTTTAAAGGGGGAAGAGTTTGCAAAAATCAAGGTGTTACAAAGGGCAGAAAAAAAGTCTTCCAGCAAGTCCTGGTGGGACATAGAGAGAATGTCTGTATTTTGTTTTTTATGAAGGAAATACAGGAATGGGAAACCTTTTCTCTATTTTAAAATTTCAATTATCTGAATGAGCTGGATAAAAATCACAGTGAAAACAAGAGAAAACTTGGACTACAAAAAGGGAGGATTAGCAGAATCAGGCAAACAGACAAGGAAGCAATCAGAGGCTTCTGAGAAACACAGGTTAATCTAGTTTTCAAAATCCAGCTTTCACGGGAGGGCTTCTCAGCAGTAAGGAAAACTTAAAAGAAATAAGACGAATCAGCTGTGAGAACTGCTGTGCAGAACACCACCCAGCCCTCTCCCAGGGAGTTCTCCCTGTTGCAGGACATGCATTTGGTGGGAGTCCATTAAGGGCACTGTGGTCTGTGTCTTGCCTGTTACTTACCGGGTCTTGTTTCTGACACATCAAATACGTAGGATGGCCTATCAAAAGTAAGAGGAAACTCATTCTCGGGGCTTGTCAGGATATGAATGTAGATGCTATCTAAAAATGGAAATAGAAACATGTTTAGTCACAAATCGTTACTCCTTCGTTTATTTTTTCAACCTCCTTAACGAATCTTCCAAGTACAGGCTGTGTGTATAGGGATACCAGGTATGTAAGACCTGGCAGCTCCTGCCTTCCAGATGCTAAGGGTAGTCACCCTTCGATAAGCACATGCACATATGGGTCTAAGGGAACCAGAGGCTTCTAGGAGGAAGCACAAACTGAGCCCTACAAACAAGGCAGGGGCGCGTTTGGTGGGGGTGGGGAGGCTGTTCTAGATATTTGCAAAAATATTAAGGTACAAAACTGCGTAATTCACCCAGGAAAACTGCAAACAGTTGGCCTAGTTGGAAGAAAAGAGGGCTTGGAGGCAAAACTGGAGAGTTAAGCTGTGGCCAGATGATTAAAATCCTTGTACGCCAAGCCAAAGAGTTTGAACTTGAACTTGACAGCTACAGGCTTTAGACAAGGAAATGATATGATGGCATTTGCATTTCCTGAAAAATCACTGTCAGAGATATGGAGGATGCCTTGGAAAGGGGCAAGACTGAAGGCAGAGAGACTCTTCAAAGACCCTCACATGTTATAATTCAGCCAGAAGAGAGGAAAGCCCTGCGTTAAAGCAGGGCTAGTGGGATGGGAGACCTAGCACCGTATCTAGTATGGCCTGGCATAATTTAGTCTCTGCTCAAGGAAGATGCTCATGAAAGAAACCAAAATTATACTTGCCTTTATAGTAAGGAGGAGCAACATCTTGCACCTGGGTTATCACCGTGTATCTGTTGCCAGCTGCTAGGTTATTGGGATTTTCATAATCCAGATCACCAACCAGCTGGATTGAAATGGAGATAGTAGATTACAGAGTCAACAATTCTATGTATTGGGCTGACAAAGACATTTTCATATACTGCTAGTGGATATGTACATTGGCCAAATCTTTCTGGAAAGCATTTTGCCAATAAAAATGGAGAGCATTAAAAAGTTATAACCATTTTTTGTTCACTGCTAGAGAACTTATTAGAAGAATTTACAGGAGACAGAATCTATGTACAAAGATGTTCATCAAGCACTACTGCTCAACGGCATAGGCTCACAACTTTAGATCAGTTGCAGAAAAGCACGATCCTGAATCGTCCATGAAGGGATTATTTTTTCTTTGTAGTAGTCTTCCCTTACTATCTGTGGTTTTGCTTCCTGTGGTTTCAGTTACCTGCTGCCAACCAGAGTCTGAAAACAGACGAGTATAGCACAATAACATATTTTGAGATAAACTACATTCATATATATTTTTAAAAAAATTTTTTTTTGAGACAGAGTCTTGCTGTGTTATCCAGGCTAGAATGTAGTAGCTATTCACAGGTGTGATCATAGCTCACTGCAGCCTCGAACTTTTGGCCTCAAGCAATCCTTCTGCTTCAGTCTCCCAAATAGCTGGGACTATAGGTGTGCACCATCATGTCCAGTTTCACATAACTTTTATTACAGTGTCTTGTAATAATTTGTCTATTTTGTTATTGACTATTATTGTGAACCTCTTACTGTGCCTAATTTATAAATTAAACTTATCAGTATGGACGTATAGGAAAATACATAGCATATATAGGGCTTGGAACTACCCATGGCTTGAGGCCTCCACTGGGAGTCTTGGAATATATCCCCTGTGGCTATGGGGGACTACTGTATTTTAAAGACTTATGCATATATGTATAAAATATATACTAGAAAGAAGATGAGGGAACTATATCAAAATATTAACAGTGGTTATCAGTGAATGGTGATGTTTTTCTGTACTTTCTACATTTTCTACATTGATCATGTATTAATTACCTAAACAAAAATAATGGAAGTTATTTTTTAGATGACACCATGAATAATGTTAGTGAGATTTTCTTGGAGTCGGAAGAAGGACTTAAGATGGGAAGTGGAGAAGGAGGTGGGTGAAGGGAAGGTTAGAGGGCTGCTTGCTCCACTCCCCAAGGCTTGATCTCTGATGCGAGCTCCCCAAGACCCCAATCCCCTCCCTTCCCTGCCCTTCCATGTTTCTCTTTGCCTTTCCCACTGTCCCCCAACAGTCGCCCTGCAAGCAAAGGCCTCTCACAGCTTTTATACCTATCTTTCTTCCAGTGTTGCTTTTGCCCCCTGGAAATTGTTGGGGAGGAGCCCTACACATCCTCACAGTCTCATTCTCCTCTGGGTCCCCAGAGATTCTACAGTGTGAAATGTATCCAGTCCCACTCAAGACCCAGGGCCGGCTACCTCTCACCTTGCTACTCTGTGGGCCAGGAATGGGCATTCAAATAAACAAAAGTGCTTGAGTGCAGGGGGCATGGATGTGTCTGTACAGGCACACTAAGCAGGCCCGCAAGCTGCACACTACGCAAGGAAGACTTCGGTGCGGAGCTCCCCAGACATAACTATGCATGACCGCCGATTCCCGGAACCTGGGTAAAATGAGGAACAAGCCGGGACATAGCTTCACTGTTAAGTCCGTCAGTTACAGTCGCCCCGAGAGGAGGGATTACCTTGGAAATTGCTCTCTACGGGACAGCAAAAGCACTATGCCTGTTGGACCAGTTCCCGATGCCCTTTGAATGATGCAATGACCATTAACTGACCACAATTTTCCCAGAGCCAGCTGGATCCTGTAAAAATCTGCCACTGCTTCCCACTCCAGATGGCGTGGTGAAGTTGAATCTGTTGTTTGGTGCCTCGCTGTCCTCATCAAAGCAGAACTTGTTCAGGTCAAGAAGCAATGTCCCATTGGCTGTTCTTTCAGGCACTATAATGCTGGCGAAAAGACACAATTCAATATTTTCCCCCAACAAATGGTGACTGAGTGTCCTTCTCACACTGGCCCTCGGCTAGACACCGCTACTGTCATTTCAATTCAAAGCAAGTCCATGGTTATTGCAGTAACCTCCTAACTGGTCTTCCTCATTCTGCCCTTGCCTCCTTTTAGGCTATTTTTAACACAGCTGCCAGAGGAATTCTGTTAAAATGCTGTCAGATCATGTCACTGCTCTGCTCCGAAGTCCCAAATGGCTCCTCATTTCAGTCCAAGTCCCAGCTTTGATCTGCAGGATGCCCTGTGATATGCTCCCCCCAACGACCCCTCTGAACTCATCTCTGACTAACTCTTCCCCTTGTTCACGCTCCCGCCTCTCTGGCCTCCTGGAGGTCCTGGAACACTCCACCAGAGTCTGACCTCAGGGTCACTAGTCTCATGGGGTAGGGTAGGGGGAGCTCTTCCCACGGACACCCCCGTGGCTCATGCTTCCACTTTAGTCTCTAATCAGATGTCACCTTGTAAGCGAGACTCTATCCAAGATGTCAACAGTCCCTGCCCAGTGCTTTCTCTCCTGTTTCCCCCTTTACTTTTAATTCTTAGCACTTATCATTATCCAATATACTATATGTTTTATTTATTTATCCCATTTATTTTCTGCTTCCCTTTTAGACTGTAAACTCCATGAGGGCAGGGATCTTTGTTTGCTTTGTTCTTGGCATACTCAATAAGTATTTGTTGAATGAATGAATGACAGCTAGCACAGTTGTGAAGGAGAACAGAAAAAAACAGAATATAAATTTCACCCTCTGCCTGCAGGAGGTTTTCACCTAATTAGGGGAAATGCCTGTCCCTCATCCTCCATGTTTTGAAGATGGGAAATTTCTTGACTTGTGTCCAAGTGGTTTCAATATCATAGAAAGGCCTCCTAACACCTTAGCATCAATATCATAGAAAGGCCTCCTAACACCTTAGCATCATTCATCAAAAGAGGTTTATTGCCAGGTGCAGTGGCTCATGCCCATAATCTCAGCACTTTGGGCGGCAGAGGCGAGAGGATTGCCTGAGCTCAGGAATTCAAGACCAGCCTGGGCAACTTGGCAGGACCTCTTCTCTACAGTAAATAAATAAAAATTTAGCCAGGCATGGTGGTACACACTTGTACTTTCAGCTACTTAGAAGGTTGAGGCAGAAGGATCACCTGAGCCCAGCAAGTCAAGGCTGCGGTGGCCGTGAGTGTGCACTGCTCTCCAGCCTGGACAACAGAGTGAGACTCTGACTCAAAAAAAAAAAAAAAAAAAAAAAGGTTTATTAAGGGTCAAGTTGGGGTCCCAATCTCCAGGGTCTAGGTAAATAACACAAAAGTTATCCCCAACTCAGAGCCTCTGGCCAAGCCCAGGTTGGTGTGGAAGACTCTGAGGAAGACTGATGAACACCTTATTATGTCCCCAGGTGCCAGTTCTTCCATCTATAAAACACAAATTATGTCAGCTAGCTTTTGCTACATAACATGCTAGCCCACAGCTGAGTGAATTAAAACAACACATATTTATTATTTTTCACAATACTATGGGTTTATCTCACAGTTGTTTTGGGCCTAGTGTGGCTTGGTTGGTCTCTGTAGTCACTGACAGCTTGGCTGGTGGGCTGGGTGGAATGGTCTAGAACGGCCTCACTCACGTGTCTGGTGATAAAAGGTGGTTGGTATCTGCTGCTTTTTGTCTCTCACCTTCCAGAAGACAGGCCCAGGCCTGATACACAGAGGTCACAGGGTTCCAAACGCAACAAAAGAGGGCAAGTCTTTTCAAGCCTCTGTTGTGCCATGCTTGTCAATGTTCCAGCGGCCAAAGCAGTTCACGTGGTCAAGACCAGATTCAAGGAGTAGAGAAAGGGACTCATCTTTTGATGGAAGGAATAGCAAAATCACATTGCAAAGGAGCATGTATACAGGCAGGGCGGAATCCATGGGCTCCTGTTGTTTGGTTTTGTTTTTGCTATCTACCACAATCTTTTGCTTTGGCAGAACATCTTACAAACATATATTGTGGTTGCCATGAGAATGTGCCCGGAAGACCCTCAGTCGCAAGATTGTAACTGACCACAGGCCCCAACTGCTGGGCTCTGAAATCCATCACTGTGTTTGCAGGGAGGCCATGCACCAACAACTGGGCATGACAGAGATACTAAGCCACGTTCATTCCTATCCAGTAGCTGACTTGTCCTTGATCCCCTAGCTGAATGTTTCATAAACTGCATGCAGCCTGGGACATTTCCAACCACCTTTCCTCTCTCTTTGCTTCACTCAGGTCAGACTTGCCCCACGGTCTGATGGCTTCCTCAGCCTAGTCCATCACCTTCCCCACTTCCTCCCTCAAACATTTCCCCCAATAAAAGCCTGGTACATTTAATCCTGTCTTGGCACCTGGCTCTTGGCCCAGACTCACATGTGTTACATCTTTAATCCTCTGTTCTTCCTTCTGCAGCCAAATTGTGTTGCCTTCTCCATCCCACAGTGTCTCCTCATGGAAACTAAAATAGGTTCTGGGCTCAGGATGTGTAGAGCAAAGTCTGACAGCAAGGATGGTCTTGGGCTGCTGAGGATAACAGGTTTGCTTGCTGGAGAGAAAGCAGGTGTAACCAACTCTCTGTGATGCCTCACGGACAAAGACCACCTCTGTGTTTCAGCAGGATTCCAGCCTGGATTGCATGATGCCATGGTTTTATTCATAAGTACTTTGAATAGATACCACTTATTAAACACCAACTACAAGTTGTATCATACCAAGCACTTTAAAAACACTATCTCAGGCCAGGCACAGTGGCTCATGCCTATAATCCCTGCAGTTTGGGAAGCCAAGGTGGGAGGATTGCTTAAGCCCAGGAGTTTGAGACCAGCCTATGCAACATAGTGAGACCTCTCCTTCAAGAAAAAAAAAAAATTAGCTGGGTGTGGTGGCACATGTCTATAATTCCCAGCTACCTGGGAGCTTGAAACAGAAGAATCACTGAAGCCCAGAAGGTCGAGGCTGCGGTGAGCCATGATTGTGATACGGCCCTCCAGCCTGGGCAAGAGAGTGCGGTCTTGATTCAAAAATAAAAATAAAAACACTATCTCTAATGTCCTCATCTCCGAAAGGTTTGTATTCTTGTCCCCATTCTGCAGGAAGAGTAAGAGCGGTTTCAAGGCCGGTCCAAGAAAGTCGATGCATCCAGAAAGTCGATGCATCCAGAAACGATTGTCTATTGTGTGGGATAAAGCCATTATAATCTTGAAGTCCCATCGGTGAAGATCCAGGCCCACAGCCGGTGCGGGGATCTGAGCCTTGATTACAGCTCGGCAGAAGCCAGGAAATGGCATCATCCAAAGAATCCAGGGTCCTGAAGCCAGACATTTCAGGCACTCCAAAAGAGGCCTCCGCACTTGGCCCCTCAGGGCTGCCTGGCATGTGCTCTCATTCTCCTCTGACACTTGGTAATTTTCCTCTAAACGCTTGACTCGGAAAGCCACTCCCCCCCATTCATCCACTCCGGCCTCAAAGGCGAGCGGCCCTCGCCCCCCAGCCGCCCGACCACGGTTCTCTCCCCACGCCAAGGTGACTGCGCCCAGCCCATTCCGAAGCGGCCAAACTTCTCCGCCTCTCGCTCCCAAACAGCTTGCGAAGCGCTTTCAGCCAGGCACCTGGCAATTCACAACCAGAGCGGGGGCCCTCACGGCGCCTTGGATGCCTCCGCGGGGGCCCTGGGCTCATTCATTAGCAGCCTGGGAAAGACGCAGGGGCCTCGGTGCTCCGGGCTGGGAGCCTGCAGGGACTCCCGGGGCAGCAGGGGGCGCCCGCCTCCTCCAGGCCCTCCTCCGC